AAAGTTGTACGTGTGGCTAGTTGTACCCTCATCATAATTGTAACGTTGTTAATTATCTAATAAAAAGCCCCCGGCCAAAGAGGTCACCTTAAACAACAAAAAAAAAAAAAAAAAAAAACTTATATACTGTAGATGCAGAGGTATTTTCAAAAATTAATTAGACTAATTTTTTTTTACAAATCTTTACTATATCTATTGCTTCACTTGTCACTTCCAGTTTAGATATTAGTATTACTTTCCCAATTAAGATCTCAAACTCTCTGAATTGTTGGTACTATTATGCAGATCTTTTACTATATCTACTGCTTTGCTTATTATTTCTGGTTTTAGAATATTAGTATTACATTTCCAAACAAGATTTCAGTCTATCTGGGTTGTTGGTATTATCTAAGTGCCTTGAAGATTTATATATACAATCTATTTGTTTCAAACCTTCTATGATACTGCTGCCAAATATACTGCCAACTCTCTATAGTTTGATCTCCACAGATTAATATATGCAGCCTATTGCCCAAACCTTCTATGATACTACTTGCTAAACATAATATCAACTCTCTATAGTTAAATTTTCTTTTAAGAATTTTCTATCAAATCTGTACTATACTTAGATTTTTATAGGGCTCTGTGTTTGATTTGGCTTCTCATTTGTAAATTATAGAGTTTTTTTCACCTCTAGCTTGACTTGAACTATAAACTTTAACTTAGTTTCTATAAAGATTTGGCAACTTAACAATTAAGCTATAGAGCCCAAACTCTAACATTATTAGTATTAATAAAAAGCTATTTAATTAAATAATAAACTTCTAATTAGTTATTATAATATTTATTATAGCTATTAAGTAGTAGATTATTATTATCTAATTTAACTAGAAGAATTCTAGTTTTATGCTAACAATTTTAAATTGGTTTATTTAAAACTTTAATTTATATTAATACACAATAATTAATTGCTTTTTTTATAATAACTAAACTTAAAGAAGTTTGACTTATTTATGCAAATTTATATGTATTTAACTAGTTTTAATAAGATAATATCTATATTTGGCCTTATAAAAAAAATTTAAAACTTTTTTTTTTTTTAATATTAAAAATGAAATCTTGTTCTTATAGAAAAAATACTATTTCTTAAAAAAAAAAGATTCTTAACTAAAGAAAAATTGTAAAACAAGCATAGAAAAAACTTGTATTTTATAAGAAAATATAGATGTGTTTTTGTTATAATTATTTAATCAAAATCAGCTATAGGATAGTTGTATTGCGATAATTTAATATGTGCTTAACTTCACTTTTATAAAAACTTTTTGAGAAAAATGTATATAATTGAAAAAGATATTCTTTTAATAACATCTATAATGATTATATTTATTAATAATATTAGGTTCAATTATTAGGTTAAGCAGTTTTAATTATGGTTTTTAATTTTAGAATACAATGTAATTCATTGTCTGTATAAATAACTGTGTAATATATGTGTTTAAAAAATGCTAAGATTAAGTTTTTTCTATGCTTATGAAATACATTATCTGTTATAAAAGATCATTATAGTTCATACATTTGTTATTTTATGCTTATAAATAAAGTGTAGTTTTCTAAATAATATTATATAGTTTAAATAAAGTACCAAAAAATTTTATCTTTTAAGTAAAAGTAAGTTAAAACAATTTCATCTTCAAATTTTAATTTTGGGTTTTAAAGCCTGAAATAATTTCATCCTTATCTATAGTTATATATTACTAACTTCAGTAATAGTTATCATACTAGTATGTTATTAGTTAAGGTTCTAGGCCTTCTTGCAGCACCAAGCTAGAAGTGAAAATAATTATTAGTAGTACATCTACAAGTAAAAATAAATATACTAGAAAGCCTTTGACACTTATACTACAGATAATACCAACTTTGGTAGCACTATATAAAGCAAGTAGTATACTGTAAAATAACAATAAGAAAATCAATAAATCTGTTTGCACTTAATATAGAAAGTTGTGGCTTAAGATACAGATTGTATTATAGCAGCATCTCAAAAGTTGGCTTGAGATACAAACACAATAGTAGCATATAGTATTAGTAAGAATATATACACCAATTTGAGAACAATAAGAGCAAAAAACTACAGAAATAAACCAAATTGAAAGATAATAGAAGGTTGCTACAAGAAGTAGATAGGGTGACAAAATACTAATAACAATACAAAAAAACTATATATAGAAAAAAGTGGGTTGTATACTAGCTAGAAGTTAATTAATAAGATGATAGCTATTGATTAAATTCTAAAAATAGCAAAGATATAACTAAATTGCTTAGGTGAGTGTTATTAAATAGTCTAGTGTAGCACAACTCAATTACTATAATATACAATATATAACAAGTTCTTAAGTTTTTAATCAATATAAGCAATTTACTAAAAAAAAAAAAATACTAATAATGTTTTATTAGTATCAGAATATATAAAGATTAATAATAAATAATCTACAACTGCAATTTTATCAAATCAAAAAATTATTATTATGTTTCAGAAATATGATAATGATGATAAAAGTAAATTTCCAATTCAAATCTTACTTAATATAGCAATAAAAAGCTTGAAAAATATTAAATTATATTTAGCCAATCTACCAGAAAATCTGTATATTGAAAATAAAGATTTAAAAATTATAAACTTGCTTAAAAAATGAATTTCAAGCTTAATTATATAACAAAAAAAGCAGACAAGTCTAAATTTATTTTTTAATAATAAATAATTATAATTCTAAAAGTGGCTAAATATATGCAAAAAAGAAAATTTTGATTTTTTTTTTTCTTCTTTTAATTAATTAGTTATCTTAAATTTACAAGCAGTTTTATTATACAAACAACTTTAAATAAGTAATTTATAATTAAATATAAATTTATACTTAGCTTTTTAATAACTTAATTGGTAATTTACAAGTTAACCAAAGAGTAATCATAGTAAAATATAATACAGATTACTTATAGAAATTAGAGTTTTGTAAATATAACATGCATATATCTAAAACTTTTTTTTATACTAAGTTAATCACTTTTCTAACTTAAAAGACTTTTATAAAGCTTGTTAAGATATACTGTATTCAATAGTGGTTAAATTATCTAAATTAGCCTAAGATATCTTTAAAAAAAACTTTTTTTAACTATAAATTTTTTTGTAAAACAATAGTATTGTTTTAAAGAAATTTACATAGTTAAAAAAGATTTTTTAAAGATATCTTGGCATATATCAGGCTAATTTAGATGATTTAACTACCATTAGATATATCTTAACAAGCTTTACAAAGATCTTTTAAATTAAAAAAGTGATTAACTTAGTATAAAAAAAAGTTTTAGATGTGCATATACCATATTTACAAAACTTCAATTTCTATAAATAATCTATATTATATTTTACTATAATTATTCTTTGGTTGACTATAGATTATCAATTAATTCTTTATATTTATTCTAGAATACTTTATATACATATCAACAATTTAAATATCAAAATATTTTTATTTGTAGTTTTATTTTGTGCAAAAGGTACTATTATAGTAGATTATTACTAATTATTACTATTAGACTAATTAATTTTATATACTATTGTAAAATTTAAATAATTCTCAATATGAAACTCTTTTTTGTAGATTCTAAAAATATAGTAAACAAAACAAATAAACATAAAAAAAATTTTATATACAAAAATTGCTTATAAATAAAGTAAATTTAGAATATACACAACATCTAATATACTCAAGCAACTTATAATAACTACAAATAAACTGAAAAGAGATAGAAATACACTCCTTACCACTCTAGAATCATTTGAACTATTCTTTATTCCTTCCAAAAGACAAACCACTTTTCTGATAGATCCTACCAGAACCTCAAATAGTCACAATACCCCAACAACCCCCTCCGCTTAAAAAGAAAAGAACTACAACAAATAGTAATACTAATACCACAATAGCAAACCACTTTCCTCCACTAGCATTATTTTTTACTTCTTAATCACTACCTCAAAATAGGCAATCCAGTGAACCTCTATCAAACACAACAATGATAGAGCTATGACCCGGGTGGGTTGACCCGTACGGGTCAGAAATTTGATGGGTCACAGGTCAAAAATTGACCTAACCCGGGTCAAACGGGTCAGTATTAAAGCTTACTAAATTATTAAAATTATTACATTCTGTATTACACAATTAATATGCATTATCATTATGCATTGTTTAATGTTAATCATTATATCATATATATTATTCCACGGGTCTTATGTAACAACCCATGCTTTTTTCATTTGGTTATTGCACGTGGGTATATGAATAACCCGTGGCTGGTTATTCACTACATAACCATTATGTATCTCGTAAAACATTTTATTCGGTTTGATCAATGTGGTTACAATTATTTCTTTACTATTTAAATGATAAGTATTTAATTACTTTATCGTTATGATAATTATATACTTGATTCTAACTGCTTATTTAAATTTTCAGGTGATTTCTTATATCTGCCCAAATAGTAAGTTACCCCTCTAATTCTTAATACAATTGTATTGTTCAAATTTTAATGATATATATATACTTTTTAATTTTCATTTTATATATTTCTTTCTGAATTTTCAAATATATTTGTAGTTCAATTTTAACATTAATGGTTTATATAGATCCGTAAGTGCTTCAATTTCTTTTTGATTGCTTAGTGCCTGTTTATACCTGACTTTAACCTGTATCTAATTCAATAATAGTTTTTTAGGTTATTAAATTTGATGATTCTAAGCATTTAGATATAAATTTTTATTACTTAGCCAAAAACATGTGAGACAGGCCAAAGCTTCAGAACCGCTTTAAGGAATAAAATTAATTCGACAAATTGAGAATTAAGGCTTGTTTTTTTTTCAGTAATAGTAAGACTCGCGGAAGAAAAAAGTCGTTTGGATGGTACTGACGTAGCCGGAATGGAAAGATATTTGTGGGCAAGTTTTGCAAGAATAGGATAATCGGCTTTTCTTGAGGCCCACCACTGAAGTATATCCGTTTCACTTGGAACTCTTGGTAGTGATAAGTATAAATTGAATTCACAGTTAGCAATATCATTGTCATTTTGACTTGAATGCCCTTGATCTACAGGATTAGAAAAAATATCTTCTTCGCTATTCATTATATTACTAAGTGCTGTATCTGATTCATAATAATTAGTAGCAAATTCAAGATATTCCATATGTGCTTCTGAAATAGTAAGATTCTTTTCATTTTCTGTAAATATTTGCATATCCTTAGTCCGCGGATCAAAAAAGGCAGCAAGTCGAATTGGTTTTACCAGTTCTGAAAATTGTTCTTGAATTGATTTAAGAAGAAGACTTCCAAATTTCTGAACATTAACATTATTTACTATCGCATAATCAAGTTTTATTTTAATGAAATTAATTGCAAACCATGCTTGAGAAAGTGTTGGATATTGTGAACCAGATAATTTTTTTGAAATAACCTCATAAGGATACAATAATTTAACCAACTCAGCTATTTTTTCCCATTCATCCGACGATAGTTCTTTTTCTTCATAACTTCTCAGAGAACTATTATCGTTAATTTCAACTAAAAATGACTTATATTTGTACAATGCTGGCTTAAGAACTGTTAACCGTTTTAATAGATAGAATGTCGAATTTCACCTTGTTGAAACGTCACGAACTACGAAAAGAAACTTATTCCAGTCTTCCATCTCCATTTGAGCTTCCAAAAGAAACTGCTTCTGCTTTGAACTTCCACTAAAATGTAAAACAACATCTTTACATTTTTTAATTAGGTTAGTAATTTCAAAACATTCTTTTAATACATCATTAATCGCGAGTTGTAAAGTATGACCAAAACAATGAATTTTAAAAAATCCGTATTTTCGCCCTAGTTTTTCTAAACATGATTTGATATTCGACTCATTATCGACTATACCGCTAACAGTAATACGTTTAAGCTAAAGACTATCTAAAATTTCGATAATTTTATTTAAAAAACATTCAGAGGTATGGGGATATGGGAGATACGAGATGTTACCAATCATTTCTTTAACTTGAAAACTATCATTAATCTAATGAAAAGTAAGACCAATATAGGGATCGCCATTATTCGATGTCCACATATCCATGGTAAATAAAATAGAACTAATTTCAGCACTATTAAGTGCATATTTACGAAGGTTTTGCAGAATTTTATCCTCAGAATTAATAAGAATTTCCTTTAGACGATCGTAACTGAGTATATTAGCTTATCAAGTCCTTTAATTATTCTCTTAAATGCCCGTGACTGAATAATTGAAAATGGCTGAAGTTCTTCAACGATAAAAGCTGCTATATTACGATCAAGATCTTTTTGTTTTATATTAGTAAGTGCATATTTTTTTACTTTGTTAAATGCCTGCGTTATCGTTGTTTGAGAGGATTCTAACATTACAGAAAATTCACATTTATTTTTTTCATTTATTACAATCTTTACTCGACCGCTCTCCACCATAGCTCGTGAGATATGATGTTTATTTCTTAAATGACGCCATAAATTCAAAGTGGAGCCATCCTTTTGATACTTGATACGTGGATTACAAGATTTATGACGACAAAACCAAAACTCTAAATTATTAACTAACTTTGTTTCATAAAATGGTTTAACAGGGCTACTACCCGGTCTTTCAAATTTTTTTTTTTTTTTGACTAAAGGTTGATTGCCAGTTTGTGATAACATGGAGGACTGAAGTGATTCATTATTATCATCTGTATCATCAAATTCTGGCCCATCTAAATCAACGTTTTCAGGCTCTAACACCATATCATCTTCAGGCTCTAGCACCATATCATCTTCAGGCTCTAGCACCATATCATCTTCAGGCTCTAACACATTTTCAGGTTCTAACACCATATTTTCCAAATATTCATCAATCATCATTTTTTTGCTTTTCTAATTCAAAATCTGCAGTTTTTGATAAATTAAATATTCATTGAATGCTATAATAATTTAATATTATTTAGCCAAATTTTATATATAGTAAATGTGTGTTTATGATATACTTACAAAATTACAATATTTTTATTCTATAGCAAGATAATGATAACGTTAATATTGCAGGTGAAGATACTATTGGCGATCTAAAGAGTAAAATTTGAGCATTGAAAACTTTATATATATGCGTACAATGCAAAAACCTCAACCCAGATATAATGTATTTGCCATTGTCATTATTCTTCAAAATTCCCATAAAATTATCGGCCTTAGCTGATTTTGGATAATACACCAATATTTTATGCTTATCTAATTCAGCCCAATTCTCTTGGCTTTAACTATCTCGTAAATGCAACAGCATTCAAAGTTCCTGATTAGAACTGACAAAAAAAACTTTTTTATTAATAAAAAAATTGTAGCAATTTGTAAATGTTCATATTTTAAAGATAATTTGTCATTTTAAATGGTGAGACTAGTTGAGATTATTTGATGATTTGTTTCTTCAAATACGTATGGACCTTATTATTTTTGCTTATCGTTATTGGCGTATGATTTCTATTTAAGGAGATACATTTTCAATCGAATTCTATGAATCCTATGAATCCCACATATTACCATTGTTTTAAACAATGGTTATATGCAGGATCCATAGGATTCATAGAATTCGATTGTCTCTCTAATTTGAAAAGTGCGATTACAGCTATTTTATAATTCCTGGATCATCTGATAAAAATTAGCTGAATAATCTTTCAGCCTATTCGATTAAGTTGGTGATTTTGGGGGTTTCAAAGTTAACAAATAAGTAACGCATTTCGAAAATAAATAGAATTTTTTCAATAGAATTTTTACACGTATGTTGAATTATAAATTGGAAAAATAAAATAAGATTCTTCTGATTTTAACTTTGAAACCCCTAGGGGTCTGCAAATGCCCATGCCTAGCACATTGGCACCAGGCTGGGCACTAGTGCCTTATGCCGTGCCTATAGGCACAAAAGTGCCAGACACTATTAAAGGCATAGACACAAAATGCTAGGCACAAGGTACCGGGCACAAGTGCCAGACACAATTAAATAGTAAATATCCAATTTCTGTACCTGTGCCCATGCCTATGCTGAGTTTTTTGTTCCCATGCCCATGCCCATGCCTGAGTTTTCGTGCCAATGCCCATGCCTAGATTTTTTGTTGGGCACAGACACGAGCCCGGGTTGCAGACCCCTAGAAACCCCCTAATACAGTAGAATTAATAAAATTGGTATATATACGTAATTTAAGATCAGGTAGCTAATATAAATATTATTAAGTCTCTGGTATTCGTGCAATATATTTATTATAAAAGTTTATGTAATTATAATAATATATAGTGTCTTTTTTATATTTCTTATTAAGGCTCAATCGATCTATAAAACAGTCATTACGATATAAAAACAGTTTTTATTATATGGATCATGCCAAAATTATAAATTTAATCGAATCGGCTGAAAAATCATTCAGCCAATTTTTATCAGGGATTATGAAAATAGCTGTAACTTTAAGAAACTTTACCTGACCCGTTGACCCAGGTCATGACCCGGGTTAATATCTGACCCGTCCGGGTCACTATTTTCTGACCCGGGTCAAAGCTCTAAACAATGACATCATTAGAACAAAACAAACAAACAAGTGTGGGAACTCACCAAAATATACAAACCAATATAGAAACCAACATAGAACCTAGCACCAGAACTCAGCCTATGATTATCACAACAGATCAATATAATCTAAACAAACAAACAAGCATAGAAAACAACATACAAATCACCATGCCCCAGATCACAACAATGACTATAGACTACCCAAAGTACCTAATCTGCTCCCTGACCTAATCTAGGCTAACCTTTAGAACCTGAACCAACAAACACTACAGCCTAATAATTTTTTACAACAAACTCAAGCAAATATGGACCCTAAAAACAAAATAGATACCTAATCCAATACCACAATAGAATCTATTATACTACCAAAAAAGTTATACAGCAGGGCT